TGCATATGGAGAAGAAGCAAATCCATGGTGTGCAACACTGCTGGGAACACTCTCAGTATATCCTTTGATGTAACTTTAAGAATGGAAATGGGCATTACGAAAAAAAGAATGAAGCCCTTGTGTAGCAAACCCATGAAGTCATTTCTTCACGCATCCTCCTAATCCTTGCCTTTTCCGATCCGTTAATGATGAAGTAGCCACCAGGGTCCAGAGGGCACTCGTTCAGCTCGCAAAGATCACGATCCGTGAAGCCATTGAGCAGGCAGTAGGTGGACCGCAGCATGATAGGAATTTTCCCTATGAAGGTCTTCTGGTGCTGCGTCTGCAACTGGTCCTCACCTTCCTTAATGACTGTCTTTGTTATGTCCACATACAACGGAGCGGAGTACCTATGAACAGAAAGTGCCACGTGGCGTATAAATCTCCAGCATCAGAGAGATATAAATACATTTCACCCTAGACAATTACAAAGTTAAAGATAACAAATTTGGAGTCCAATGGGACACCTTTAAGACAAACAAAGGTTTATTCAGGGTATGAGCCTTCGTGCGCATACACACTTTTTCAAATACATTGAAATGGAAGCTAGAATTCAAATTTATAGACAGAGGCTGAACAGCAAATTAACATGTAACATGATGTGCTTTCCCCACTGTACTTTGCTTTGGACACTGCAAGCAACTGAGGCTTCATCAAACATCATTCTAGCAGAGGGTATTTCTTACGTAAGATTTCTCAGCCTGGCTTCATTTGGCGTCATGGGTGAAGGGGCACCATCTCTTTCCCAGTGCGTAGGCTTGGAGAGATAAATTTGTTCGAATTTCAGTAGATAACGCGGCTGTAAAAGAAACCAAAACAGATGGATTTAATTAGACATTTATTTTGAGAAGTGAAAGCTTGTTCAACCATCCTCCTGATCCCATAGCAGAGCAGCTGGTATGCCATCATACTATGGGAATGCAGAAAAGATAGTGAGATAAAGTAGTCAGTTCCCGAGACTCTCAGCTTTGATTTAGCCCTTACGGATGTCAGGCTATCCTTGGAAGCATGTGCCAACTGCTGCTGAAATCTCACAGCCAGAGTGGAGGAGGACTAAGATTTCCAGCTGAGGAAGAAACTTCAACACCCTACCAGGCTCTATGCCCCTTTCCATGATTAGCAAATCAGGATAAATTACACAAAAGAACTACGATCTTCTTTTCCATGAACATAATTTAAGAATTAAAGTTTTATTGGCACAGAGTTTGAATTCTTATAGTGTAGAGTACACAGACATACACCTGCAATTTGCACAGACATATCCTTTATTTACTTCATTTATACCCCCCACCCCCATTCTCCCCAATGGGGGCCCAAAGCAGCTCACATAAGAACATAAAAGATGCCAATGTGGGATCAGGCCAAAGGCCCATCCAGTCCAACACTCTGTATCACACAGTGGCCAGAAATACCAGGTGCCATCAGGAGGTCCACCAGTGGGGCCAGGACATTAGAAGCCCTCCCACTGTTGACATCATTCTCCTCTCCTCCATTTTATCCTCACAACAACTCTGAGAGTATGTGACGGGTCCAAGGTCAAGCAGTAAGCTTCCATGGCCGAGTAGGGATTTGAACCCGTGTCTCCCGGGTCCTAAATCCGACACTCTAACCACTACACCACACTGGCTCTTACCGGTTCTTCCACTTCTCCAGTAGCATGCTGAGCTTCTGCTTGCAGGTCAATTGGTGGAGCATCTTCAACGATTCTCTGCACAGACATCTGAATGAACTCATCAAAAGAGTCCAGCTGCTGTCGAACCAGGCCCTTTTCATCAAAATAGGAGCTTTGGGGAAAAAGAGAGAGAGAGAAATCATGGAGTGAGAGCAGCCCCTCAGAAAGGCATTATGATAGTTTCTTCAACTATTATGACCAATGTGAAAATACAAGTGTGAGGCAAAGCACCCCTGGCCTCCCCCCTAAGGGTTAATGGGAATGGTCTCAGGCCTGGTCCATCCTGCAGGTATTGCTAATTGGTCTCTCGGCCAACACAACCCTCATCATTTTCAAGGCCAGAGATGGAAGCATGGTAATTAGCTTCTCCTGAGAACCTGCGGCCTCTAGGATGGGAGCATCCTGCAGGTATTGCTAATTGGTCTCTCGGCCAACACAACCCTCATCATTTTCAAGGCCAGAGATGGAAGCATGGTAATTAGCTTCTCCTGAGAACCTGCGGCCTCTAGGATGGGAGGGGTGGTGAGGTAATCTTCTAGAGGCTTCTCCTGAGAACCTGTCCTGATTGGAGGTCACCTTCAACTGAGGATGCTGGGCAAAAAACTATAATTGATCTAAGGTCCTGAAGAAGAGAGGCCAACTGGGATTTTGGTAGACTGACAGTGCAATTCTAAACAGAGATACACCCTTCTCAGCCCACTGATTTCAATGTACTTAGATGGAAGTAACTCTTCTTAGGATTGTACTGTAAAGGCCTGAACTATGACCTACAAAGTATTAGCTCAGCTAGTTTTCTTGCTGCATTTTAGAGTTGTGTGGGCTACAGAATAAATTTTCATATTGAGAGAAATTGAAATAAACTTCATAAAATCTTTTTAAAAATTAAACAATGGTCTGGTTACTCGTATACAACCACCCTTGGGGACCCACGGGGTTCAGGCTTGGACTCCTTGACAAGTCTTTATCTTCAGTTTCCTACCAGCACTCATAAAAGGACAGACTGCATCCTGTGCCAATAGACCTGAAGGGAGAAAATCTCTTCGGACAACCCAGTGGAACATTTTCCTTGAGCTTAATAGTTTCTCTGCTCTTAGAGATAAGTCTTCAAACCTTGTGAGTGTGGGCTGGAGGAATCCAATACACATTTCTCATCTTTTAATAACAAGGCCACATTTATTTACTTAGGAATCCTAAAAAATTAATAAGCTTAAAAAGAAAATAATGAATCGACTGTTTCATATTCATAATACGTATGTATTATGTAAAACGTACATAACTACATGTATTCAAAGTGCAACTGACTTGCACAATTCATTGCCACAGGATGTAGTGATGGTTACTAGTTTGGCCAGGTTAAAAGAGAAATAGACAAATTCATGGAGAGGAGGTCCATCAAGAAGCATGATGACTACGGTGCAACCTCCATGGTTCAGAGGCAGTAAAAGCCTGTGAACACCAGCTCTGGAAGGCAACAACTGTGGAGGGGCATTTGCTTATATTCTGTGAAACCAGATGCTAGACCTGATGGACCACTGCTGTGACCCAGCAAGGCTGTTCTGGGGTACACCCCAATATGCAGAAGGTCTGCAGAAGAACACATAAAGCTGCCATATCAAATCTGTTATTGATCCAACCTGCCCAGTACAATCTACTATGACAGATAACTCTCCAAGTTATAGGCAGAATCTCTTCCACCCTTGGGACCTGAGGTCTATTTTAACTGGAGAAGCTACTAGGGGCTGAATGCCAAACATTCACCATGTGCATGAGCTATGGGGGAAATCTGCCCTCTCCTTCAGTTGAGAAGTTACATTAATAGGCAAGCTACCCTGTTTCCATGTGTTCTGCAAGCGACCGTTCCCAACATATGGCAAGGACTGAGTGGTCTCTCACCTGTAAGGGTGGGTCAAGAAAGATTTCAATACAACAGCGCTCATTCCAAAAGTACAGCAGGGAGAATTGTGGTCGTGCTACAAAGAATGGCCACACACACCCCATGCTAATTTTCATTTGTTCAACTGTCTAAGCTGTTAAACTACAAGAATCCCAAAAGTAACGTGCACAGACAAAGATGTGAAAGCTTAGACTTTTAAACCTCTCATTCTAGGGAATGATTTCCAAAGACAAGAAGACAGCAATTGCAACCAGCAATGTGGGTTTTCTGGGAAAATTTTATTCAAATTTAAATAAATAACTCAAGTATTTAAAGAATGTTAGCAAAAGAAGGGAAAGGCACCAGATACGAGCACTAGGGCTTGTCCCTGCTTCATATCCCACATTACTTAACCTAATATGATTGCTTTGCAGCACAACTGCCCCAGCAACTATTGACTATACTTACATAGGTGGGGCAGGAAATTTTCCACACAAAAATACAGCACTGAAAAATTTTCTACCCCAAATCAACTGTATACAACATACAGCCATCAGTAACACAATATGAATTAAATTCTCTAAATGTAAGACTCTCTTAGTATTATTCTATAAACTGTTACTTGCAATATTCATTATATTGCATACTAATCTGGCTGTTAACCATTTAGCTAATAAGTACAGCCACCAAGACAACACTGTGCACCGTCCCCCCCAAGTTAAATCCTTTAAGGCTGTTAAGCCAGCCAGCATCGTACAGTGGTTAGAATATCAGGCTAGGACTGGGAGGACCTGGGTTCAAGCCCCCCCCCCCCCAAAGCTCATAGGGTGATCTCGGGGCAGTCACGGTCTCTCAACCTAACCGATCCATGGAATGGTGGTACAGATAACAGAGAGCCATGTGTGCCACCGTGAGCTCCCTGGAGGAAGGGTATGAAAGAAATGTAAGAGTGTGAATCCCAAGCAAATTTACTTGGGAATTAGTTTAACTGAGGTTATTGTGACTAAATAAACAGAGAGCCTGTTCCACTGATTATTACAGAAAAGACTATACATGTACTTCTCTCTCTCCACTGAAATCAGTGAGAGTTAAGAGTGCCTTTCCCTGTCCTGACCTGGATAGCCAAGGCAAGCCTGATCTTGAAAGATCTAGGAAGATAAGCACACAGTATTCCAGATGAGGTCGCACCATTGATTTATATAGCGGCATTATGATATTGGCTGATCTGTTTACAATACCCTTCCTAATAATCCCCAGCATAGCATTGGCCTTCTTTATTGCAGTCACACACTGTCTCGACATTTTCAGTGAGTTATCTACTACAACTCCAAGATCTCTCTCTTGATCTGTCTCTGCCAGTTCAGACCCCATCAACGTGTATTTATATTTAGGATTTTTGGCTCCAATGTGCATCACCTTGCACTTGGCCACATTGAACCCCATTTGCCATGTTGACGCCCACTCGCCCATCTTTGACAGATCCCTTTGGAGTGCCTCACAATCCTCACTGGTTTTCACCACCCTGAACAACTTCGTATCATCCGCAGATTTAGCCACTTCACTGCTTACTCCCAACTCCAAATCATTAATGAACAAGTTAAAAAGCAGTGGACCAAGTACTGATCCCTGTGGTACCCCACTGCTTACCCCCCTCCACTGGGAGAACTGCCCATTTATACTCACTCTCTGTTTTCTATTAATTAGCCAGTTTTTGATCCATAAAAGGACTTGTCCTTTTATCCCATGATTTTTGAGCTTGCTTAGGAGCCTTTGATGAGGAACTTTATCAAAAGCTTTCTGGAAGTCAAGGTAAACAATATCTATTGGATCCCCCTTGTCCACATGTTTGTTCACCCCCTCAAAGAACATTAACAGGTTAGTGAGACAAGATCTTCCCTTACAGAACCCATGCTGAGTCTGCCTCAATAGGTCAACCATGACTTCCAGGCACACACACACACATACACACAAAACACTTACCAAAAAAAAAAGAGTGCCTTTCTTTGGCTAGAAGGAGGATTGGCAGCCCAGCACTGCCAAGCCCTGAGAAGATGGGGGGAGGGGGAGTTTGCACCATTGACACTGCACCGACATATCCCTTCTGGTACAGACACAGAAGTGACACCACCACATCAGGACAACCTCTGGGACTCACCAAAAATTCCAGAATCCTAGAGCACCCTGATGTGTTGAAGTCACTTCTGTTTTCATACTGGAAATGACGTCACAGCATCTATGTAACACCAGTTTTCACCCATCTTCCTCCAATTTTGCTCCAGCTGCTCCAGAGGGCAGCAGCAGGGCATAGGGCAGGAGGTCTTCCACTACAGCACCCCTAGCTAGAGCACATCTGTTACTAGTTACAATCTGGCAACTTACCTAATAACAATCCAACATGCCTCCTGCCATAAGTCTGGAGTGATTTCATCATCATCTTCATCATATTGCATATCTGCCAGAGAAGGGGGAAACAACATACATCTTAAATGTTATTTCTTCAGCCCTTACTGCACAGAGATGTGCACAATCCCCCTTCAAATAGCTTAAGCATTTACTCCCATAACCCATGTCAGCAGCTCTCAACTGCCAATGGCTCTGCAAGGTCTCAGGCAGAGGTTTATTGCCAACCATCTTAAATTAAATATTTTCAACTAGATGTACCTGGGGTCGAACCATCGGCATAGAAAGGATAGTGCTATGGAGGCACGCCAAGAGTTTGCTTGATATCTCTAATGAGACTGCTGGCACAATACTTCAGCTTTTCTGTCTCAAGACGAAGAGTGACAGTAAGGGGGAACAGATGAACCAGAAGACTAACAATGCAGTCTTATGCAAAGTTACTTCAATCTCAGCCCACTGAAAACAGCGGACTTGGACTGGAGAAATTCTGCATAGGATTGCACGGTGAAATATTTTTCCAGTTCTTCTGTACTAAGATCGGGTGAGCAGAACTGCATCTAAAGCTCAAAGGACAGCTTTAGAGAGGTATGCACCGTCAGCTGTACCTGAACTCCCTCACACTCAGTACAACATACTTCTGAGTAAGAATGTATGCGATTGCCAGAATCTCAATAGGATCAAACAAGATTTAAAGATGACATTAAAAATAAATAGCTGAGCCTTCTAATATCAACAGCTCCAAAGTGAATATCTTTGTCCCAAGCACAGTTCTCCCTTACTTAGTGGAGAGATATGTATGAACGTGAAAATGGAAACCACAGTGTAAGTTAAAGATAAACTTTGACAACTTGGAAATTGGGCAAGAACAGCATTTAGGTCTACCATAAATTTTAATTCAGCCAAGGTTCCTTTTTAAACCAGAGCTCCCGCAACAACTGAGCATGTCCATTTTTAAAGCTGCCCATGCCCCTAATAAATTACTATCTCATTCTGCTGTTACACGAGGAAAAAAGGGGGGCAAGCTAAACAATGAGTGAATGGAGTCAGGAATGCAATTGAAGCAGGCATCACGAAGTCAAAACTGGCGTAGCGTGGTGATTGCTAAGAAGTACCAGCTGTCAACCCGAAAGCTTCAGTTCAAATCTTACCATAAATATGTTATGTAGGTTTGTTATTTTGCAATATTTAACAGCATCGCATTGCTAACAATGTAAGATCTTGACAGACAATCTTAAGGATGACAGCTGAAAGAAAAGAAATCTGGGCTTCTTTTACTTATCTCAGAGTTGCTCATGCCTTAGAAATTTTTAGCACAACCCACTATGAAATAGTCTTTAGCAAGCCATTAGCCTCCACTTAATGAAAATTAGCACTTCCATGGAATTACCATAAGCTCAGCACATGTTACTGTATTGTAATTCTTACAACAAACCTATAAGGTAGGCCTAGCAGACACACCACAAAGAGCCTGTGTAGCAGTTAGAGGACCAGAAAGATCCAGGTACAAATCATGACACTTAATAGGTACCAACAGCATTAATGCAGGGGGCAAAATGGAGGAGTGCCACATACCTGAGCTCCTTGGAAGAAGGGCAGATTGTTATAAAGGCACTAAACAAATAACCACAACATTGCAGATGGGAGACCAATGCCAGAAAAGGGTAGTGGCTTGCCTAGGAGTTCATAGCAGAGATCCGAGCCAGGGACCCCCTAATTTCTAGTCTCTTAAATGCAATACTGCACCATCTTTCTTCCTCTCAACCATCTCAAATTGCAATGTAAGAAGATGGCCACAATGTCAGCCTACCTTGCAGGAAGGATATGTAGGTGAATTTATTTATGCATTTGTTTATTTATAGTTCCAACTTTCTTGATGATACAAGACACTTAACACAGTAGAAGACAACACAATCAAATGGCACCGGACAACCAAGCAACACAAAAGGAATAGGATCACAAAAATGAGAAGCGATGCAAAAAGTATCAAACACGGTAATGTCCGAAATGCAAACAGGAGTGGAATTACAAAAATAACTAAGAACAAGATAAGGCACACAATAAGCAGTGGAATGACAAATAGCATACACAGTGAAATAATAAAATAATACCTACAATGAACAGTGGAACAGACTGCAGTTATGTTCCCTTTATTCAAGAACGCTCCTTTCCATTTGTACTAGAGCATATACTCTTTCTATATATTCAGATACTGAAAAAGTCTCCCATCCGGATACTGAAGAGGTGAGCAGCGACTCACAAAATCTCATCCCCTGCCCCAAATTTTGTTAGTCTTTTAAGGTGCTACTGGACGCTTACTCTTTTCTACTGCTACAGACAGACTAACACGGCTACCCATCCCGATCTATCGCCTGGGTGTGATGATGCAAAGCGCTTTGACACTCAAACAAAACAAGCACCAAGATGTTAAGTCTGTCTGTAGCAGTAGAAAAGAGCAAGAGTCCAGCAGCAACTTGAAGACTAACAAAATTTGTGGCAGAGTATGAGCTTTCGCTCCTGCCAACCTAGCAGATCGAAAGCAAGAAATTGCAAGTAGATAAATAGGTACCACTTCGGTGGGAAGGGAACAGCGTTCCGTGCGCCTTGCTGTTTAGTCATGCCGGCCACATGACCACGGAAACGTCTTCGGACAGCGCTGGCTCTTCGGCTTCGAAACGGAGATGAGCACCGCAACCCTAGAATTGGACTCGACTGGCTTTCGAGCAAGGGAACCCTTACCTTTACCTATGAGCTTTCGTAAGTCAGCGCTCACTTCTTCAGATACAAGCACCATTTATTTTGACTTCTATTAAATAGCCTGAAGGAAACTTCCCAAGCCTGGTCTTTTCAGGCCCAGACAAGGGAACCTTTACCTTTACCTATGAGCTTTCGTAAGTCAGCGCTCAGTTCTTCAGATACAGGCACCATTTATTGTGACTTCTATTAAATAGCGTGAAGGAAACTTCCCAAACCTGGTCTTTCCAGGCCCAGACAACAACCCCCCCACCACCACCTACACACCGGGCACCGTCTGCGGAGCTAAGAGCCGAGACCACTCAGAGACCTCAAGGACCACCCCCCGCCAGACCTCACCTTCGTCGGCGTCGTACATCTTGGCGAAAGTTCCTCAGAGCAACCTCAGACCCAGCGGAAAGAAACCGGCGACGACAGGAGCTCACGCAGTCTAGCAGACACCCAAGCAGGCGAAAACGTCGCGCTAAAGCCAAGCCGCTCAGTAGGCAACTGCGCCTGCGCACCGGCTCAAGCACTTCCGCTTCTCCTCAGTTGTCACTTGACCCGTAACACGGAAGGGCTCACTGGTCTCCTTGGCGACGGGGTTCCGCTCTGCCCTTCTAGCCTCAAACTTTACGGGTTTTTCTCCCGCCGTACAAAGTGTATTGCACTCCTTGTGCCACCGACACCACCGAGAGGCCACGACCTGGCCATGGGTGTTCATTTCGGAATGCCTTTTCCTTTTTAGCCCGGAGTTTTGTTTGTTTATCTGGAAATCGGCCGAGGCAACAACGGATCAGGATCGGGCTGCTCTGGAGCTGCCTTGTCATTTGGAAAGACCCCCCTCCCAATGTCAATTTCTGAATGCTTTACAATAGTTTTACTCCGCCTTTCTGACCTGGGCTAGGGATGCCAGCCTCCAGGTGGGACCTGGGGATCCCCTGGAATTACAGCACATCTCCAGGCTATAGAGATCAGTTCCCCTGGAGAAAAAGGGATGCTTTGGAGGGTGGTCCCTATAGCATTGTATCTCACTGAGATCCCTGTCCTCCTCTGGCTCCACCCCCGAATCTCCTGGAGTTTCTCAAACTGCATCAGGCAACCCTACTCCCCTCAATTCCCCACCAGTGGCGGGGGGGGGGGGGGGGGGGGCTGGCAACCCAGATGGGACAGAAGCAATTAACATTGTGTAATTTTTAAAAAGCCAGCATCTCCAAAGGTGGGGTGGAGATATGCAGAAGACTGGAGCCACAAACCATTTATAAAAGAGACTCATGGAGACTTTCAGCACATCCTAGGGAAAACTTGGCTCTGCCAAGTAAACACGCTCTGTGTCAGCGGTTCTCAAGCTGTTGGTCAGTCAGGAGCCAAAACCAAATCATGACTATTGCAGGTCGATTTAATTTTGAGTCCAGTGGCACTTTTAAGACCAACAAAGGTTTATTCAATCATTGAACAAACCTTTGTTGTTCTTAAAGGTCCCACTGGACTCAACATTTGTTTTACTGCTTCAACTCAACACAGCTACCCACCTGAATCTATCTTGCAGGTGAATTGTAAGGCCAGAAAGGAGTAATTAGGCAAGCTTGAAAAGGAGGCTCAGGGAGCCTTAATGGAAAATTTGGGTTTGCTTCTGCTTTTCTTATTTATTTTTGCTGTCAAAGCACAGTTGATTTATGGTGACCCCACAGGGTTTTGAAGGCAAAAGACATTCAGAGGTGGTTTGCCATTGTCTACCTTCACATCGTGGCCCTGGTATTCCTTGGTCTCCCATGCAAATACTGACCAGGGCCAACCCTGCTTAGCTTCTGAGACCTGATAAAATTGGGCTAACCTGGATTATCCAGGTCAGGGTTTGCTTTTGCATACATGTGCAAAATGAAATACAACCTGTTGCTCAAATACAAACTGTATTCAGTGCTAACTGATGTGAGATTGTGTTTTTTGTTGGGGAAGGGAGTTTCTTTGCAAGTGGGACCCAAATGTACGATCAGTATTAAAGTGATTTTTGAAAAGTGAGATTAGAAATCAGGGCAGCATCCATGTGTAGTTGTCCTTGCAGCAATCATTCCCACACAAATGCTCCTGTGTGGACAAGCTAATCCAGGATATGATAGGGTTACCACATTTTGAAAATTAAAAAAGGACATATTTCCCAACTGACTACTTCAACCAAGTGATCACTGTGACAAATCTCATTCTAATACCCCTATTTAAACTGTGATGATTGCTACTAACTAGGAATACGCCTAACCTTCCAAACCCCAAAAGAGGACATTTTCGTCAGTTTTTTAAAAAGAAACCAAAAGAGGACAGACACCCCGAAAAAAGGACATGTCCTCTAAAAAGGGGGACATCTGGTAACCCTGGTATATGAACAAGTGAGCCGTGACTCATGAAAGCTCATACGCTGCCACAAATTTGGTTAGCTGTTAGGGTACTACTTGGCTCTTGCTCTTTTCTACTGCTACAGACAGACTAACACGTCCACTCATCTTGACCAGTCACGAATGACTGCTGTAAAATAAAGTTTGAATCCAGCGGCACTTTTTAAGACCAACAAAGTTGAATTCAAGGTATAAGCTTTCGTGCAAGCACACGACAGTTTATAGCCTGAGGCCCCGGTCACACGGCAAAGTTGCCACGGGAGAGGCACAGATGGTGGGCGGATTATCCAGGCACGATCACACCCCAACATCTGGGAAGTGGAGCGCACCCGTGGCTTACCGCAGACAATGCGAGTTAAAAAACTAGTACCTCCAAGGTACTAGTAAACGTTTGCCATGGGCTGCCTCCAGACTCCCGTGGTGTGATTGCGCCGTCACGCAGCATTCCCCTCCGGTCCCTCATTTACCCGCCGGCGCCGAGGGAAGGACCGGTGGTGTCCGGCCAGTGTGCCTGGGGCCTATATAAACCTTTGTTGGTCTTGAAGGTCCCCCTGGACTCAAAGTTTGTTCTGTTACTTCAGACCAACACGGCTATCCCAACTGAATCTATCTTGCTGTAAAATAACTATATCCAACAACGCATACACAAATCACGGCCTTATGCGATCCCGCAGAGAGGAACGGAACAGCACCACCAAGCAGCCGGCCGTGACCCCCTTCTCCAGAAAGAGCGAGCCGAGAAAGGAGATCCCCTCCAACCTCGCCGACTCTATCATCCCTTCCTGTCTCATCCTTTCGGCTCAAACGCCCGAAACAAAGCTTCGGCCACAGAGCTGTCAAATGCTAGAGCGGCAACTCCTAAGGCTCGCGCGCGCGCACTTTTTCCGCTTATCACCGGAAGTTCTTTCTGGGTTTGGCTCCAGCGTGTCTGTCTGTCTCCGTCGTAGCGGCGGTTGCGATGAACGGGCTGAGGCGCGCCTTGGGGCTGGGGCTGGGCCTGCGGGGCGTCTGGCGTCGCTGGCCCTCGTGGCCCGTTGGAGGCGCAGGGGCGGCCCCTCGGCGAGCGACACCCGGAGGCTTCTCTACTGTCCCGAGCGCTGAGCGGCCGCCGAGGCGGCGGGAGGCGGGGGGCATCGTCGCAACAGCCGCGAAAGACCCGCGTGAGGAGGAAGAGGAGTTCGTGTTCCCCGAGTATCACCCGGCGGAGGAGCCGGCCCTCGAGAAGCTGCTGAGGGAGCTCATCAAGAAGGAGGAAGAGGGGGAGGAGGAGATCCCGCAGGTGCCCCGGGAACCCCTTCCGCTGCAGGCTCCCGACGGCCAACTTCCGAAGCAGCCCCGGCGGAGGAGGCCCCACAAGGCTTCGGGGAGTCCGGATCCCTCGATACCCTCGAGCGGGGTGGCCTGCTCGGGCTGTGGCGCAGAGCTACACTGCCGGGACCCTGCTTTGCCCGGGTACCTGCCCAGCGCCAAGTACCTGAGCCTGCTGGGGGGGGCTGGGGAGAGCCCTGAGAAGGCTCTGGAGGATGCCATCTGCCAGCGCTGTTGGTTGCTGATTCACCACCAGCAGGCCTTGCGGGTGCAAGTGACCCCCGAGGAGTACCGCAACGTGGTCAGCAGTGCCGTGCGCAGTTCTCTCCGCCATGGCCGCCCGCCCCTGGTACTCTGCCTGGCGGATGTGCTGGACCTGCCTGACTCCCTCCCGCCGGATCTCCCTGAGCTGGTGGGAGATCAAGCCAATATCCTGGTGCTGGGCAACAAGGTGGACCTGGTGCCTGGCGATTCACCTAACTACTTGAAGCGCCTCCGGGAGCGCCTGCTGGAGGCCTGCACCCATGTCAGCCTGAACCAACACAGGGGGGGCCCAAACCAGCGAGTGGTTGACGTGCACCTCCTCAGCGCCAAGACGGGCTATGGGGTGGAAGAGCTGATCTCCAAGATGCAGAGCTCGTGGAAGTTCAACGGGGATGTATACCTCGTAGGGGCTACCAACACTGGGAAGTCGACCCTCTTCAACACACTGCTCCTGTCAGACTACTGCAAGTCCAGAGCCTCGGATGCTATCAGCAGGGCAACCATTTCTCCTTGGCCAGGTCAGAGGGAACTGAGGAATTTCACTCACTACACTTTTATTCTTTGAGGCCACTAACAGAAAGGCGGGTATGGAAGCTGCTGGACGTTCCTGGGTTGGGTGGTGTTGTGTTATCCTGAAGTGCAGGAAGAGGCATATGGTTTTTCCTTGGGGCTCCCTACTCGAGTGCTTACCAGTGGGAGCTTATTGTGCAGATGATGTGGTCTCACCGATCACAGAATTCTCTGGCTCCATGCATTCATGGTGGCAACTTTTAGATAGCAATGATTTGGATGGAGCAAGCATTTTCATGCAGAATCTCGGTGCTGCTCTCCTGGAACGTGGCTGCTCTTCTGGAGAAGCTGGTCATACTGTCTCTAGCAGCCATATGGTTGGAAAGGAGAGCTGTAGAAGCTGAAGCCCTGGAACAAGTAGGCTGCAAAGCTCTTGGGGGTCATATGAGAGAAGTGAATATTACTTGGCGTGTCTGCAGTATTTTAGGCCATACAAAATCTTTCCGGCACATTGTCTTGTCCTTAATCTCTAAGAAAAAACCCCTGTAAGTTACTTCAGTTATTGTTCCCATGCTGTAAGTTTTCAGCTGAGAATGGCCACCTAAGACGGCCTGGGGAGCTTGTGGCAAAGGTGAAGTGAGAGAAGATTTGTAACTCAGACTTTTGATCACTGCCCCAGCCAATGTTGGATCAGGCCAATGGCCCATCCAATACAACCCTCTGTCACACAGTGGCCATAAATACCAAATAAATGTGCAAGTATGCTGCAAGTTTGCCTCCCCCCCATCATCTTTAGCAAATAAGAATCTGCCTTTAGTGCTTTTTGCAGAAACTATGTTAAAAGAGTAGTAAGTATACAAGTGGCTTCCAGTGACAACCAGACAGGGGTTGTCATTATACACTGGAAAATAGCACACTAGTGTTTTATGTTCTTATGTCATAAATGACTAACAATCACTTATGCAGGCTGGCAACTTTAAAGGACTTGAAGGGCTTGTTTAGTGCCAGCTTAAAGGGGGAAGATTCCCGGTTCAAATGGCTGCTGGTTGGAGATGGGCCATCTGCCCTTGGCTCAGTTTGGGATTGGCCTGAGCAAGGAGTAATTTTTAAATTTCCCCCAAACAGTTCCCTGTCTCATTCCCAGTGTCATTGGGAGTATAGCAGGATTCACATATCTCTTCCTGTACCCTGGATTCCCCCAGTTCCTGTATCCTGATCTGTTCGCTTATACCTAGTCTGCCTGAAAGTCCCTATGTGGCCGTCCCTGGTGTCCTGGATGCTGAAATGGTGGCATCCCTGTCACTGGGGACCCTGAAAGACCATTTCTAGAGTGCTTGCCCTACATACAGGTCCTAGTATCCTCAGTAGGGATGGGCATGAACCAGCTGATGAACTAAAATTCATCACGAATTTTGGCTGGTTCATGGTTCGCAAAGCGATGTTCACGAACTGAAGAACTGCCACAAACTTCCACAAGTTTTGTTGCAGTTCATGGCGGTTCATGAAGAGCAGACCCCCTGCTTTCTGCTCTTCACAAAAAACTCAGATGTTTGGTTTAAATGGCTCAGAGACATTTAAATCCTGCTTTCTGCTCCCTGTGGAAAGCCATGGGGAGCAGAAAGCAGGGGTTTAAACTTTAAATGGCTCACAAACGTATATGAACCAGTTTGCGGTTTGGTTTGTGGTGTAGTCATGAACCCCAAACTGAATCGCAGAACTGCTGTTCAT